GATGGTGTTATTATGGATGCTACAAAAGTTCAAACTATCATGGATTGAAAAAACTTTTAAAAATAACTAGATATTTAATATTTTTTAGAATTTTTTAAATCACCAAATATAATTATTTTTTATTTTTGATAAATATTATTTGATTTTTATATATAAATACATATATTATTTATATACATATAGAATTAATTTTATTTAAATTAAATTATTTTACTAAAAAATAATTTAAAATAAATCATAGGTAAAATTATTATTAAAATTATTAACAGTAGAAAAATTTTCAAGAATTTATTATAATATGTGTTATAAAATAAGAGTGTATATATTTAAATGGTAACATATTAAAAATAATCTAAATAAAATTCTTTTTTGTGAATATTAATTGATTTATATGCTTTTTTAAAAAAAAAATATAATTATAATTATGATTATTATTGTTATTATATATTTATATTATATTTTAAAGATTTTTTTTATTAATAATATTATTTTAAAATAATATCTAATGCTTAATTTTTTTAATTTAATGACACATTATTGTATAAATAGAGGCTCTTATAATTATTTTGTATAAATTTTTAAATCCTCATAATATTAAATATATAATTAAAAAGCTTTAATAAGAAAATTTATATTTAAATAACTTTATTTTTAAAAGGTATGTAAAAGAATATGTTTTGAAACTATTAGAAAATTATTAGAATTAGTTGGATTTTTTTTATATAAATCAACATAATTCAAGTTAAAATCTGGATTTTATTTTTATTTTTTAAAAAAACTTGATAAATTTTATAATTACTTAAAATTATATATTTATGACATCACTTCTTTTCTTACTAATATCTTCTACAAGAAACAAACAAAATAAATAATTTACAAGACAACCAAAATATTATGTTCTTTTTGCTAAATATGATATATTTTGTTTATTTCAAAATGGTACATTGGCCCTTCTAATTTGATTCTAAAACCATGAATTGCTTTAAAATTACAAAATCTTAGCTTGTATGCCAAAACTTTTAAAAGGCTAATAATGAAGTTGGATAATAAACGACTTTTTAAAGTATTTTTTAGATTTTTGATGATCCATTATTAAAAGTTGGTGTCTTAGCCAATGTTTTACACTGAAATATACTATTTGTTGTGTGAGAATTTAAGATAAAGGTTTAAATTGATATTTTAGATATTTATGTGTATATATATATATATATATATATTCTTTGTAGTCTAATTTCTATTATGAGCTGATATTAGAACTTGCTACATCACATTTTAGAATCTAGTAGCTTCCATTTTTTGTAGTTATCAATTATTACAAAAGGGATGGCCTTCTTGTTTATTTAATTATTTTTCTATATCAAGAGATGGTAAAAGTAAAATTAAGTCAAAATATAATAATACAATCAAGTTACCATTGTTAAAGTAAAAAAATAATAATAATCAAAAGTTGTAAAAAAAATAGAAGTCACTTAATAAGTTTATGAGATCCAAGATAACCTCAATAAGATTATATTTGGAAATGTTTTAGAAAATTATGTTAAGAAATTAAAGAAGTCAGTCGACAAAACATTGAATCAAATGTTGCAGCAATATTTTAGTTGCATTATCAACTATCAATGGAACTTGTACAACATGCTTCTTATCTTTGGTTAAATCCTGTTTCACTCTATGCTTTGTACCTTCATTCAGCACTGTTTATATACAAAAATGGCAATCATTCTAAAATAGATATGGTTTAGAACTCAACACTCCAAAAACAAAAGCTTTGGCAAAAACATTGTGGAAATACAAGGAACCATGAAAATCATGTGAGAAAAACTCAAGACTGACATAAAACACAACACTGGAAACAATAGTCCAAGTTGCTTTACATCCTAGTGGAAGAAGTTTCATATCAACCTGATTCCTGGCTTTTGCATTAAGCGATGCAACAAAACCTTGCATCACAATTCACAAAACACTTTGGTGCTTTGAGGAATCACCTCATATTTTTCCTGACAAATGTCGCATGAGCACACACACAAGTCCATGGAATCATCTGATTGTGGACTTTGTTTGCAGATAGCGAGGACGAGTCAGACAATGAAGGTTCTTCTTAAGGAATTCAAGAGCAAAAAAAAAAAAAAAAGAAAAAGAAAAAAGAAAAGAAAGAATAAGAAGACTGCGAAAACTGCATGGCTCCCACTGCATGGAATCACGAAGTAGCCAGATGTGAAGCGCACATCTGGCTAACAACCCACTTCGGCACATCAGGATGGCTTACAAAAACGCCGAAGTCCAGCAGTGATTCTTCGGGTGCAGAGTTTCGGTGCTGCTTCTACTGCTGCAGGCTTCCGCGGTATGGAGATCTACGACGGAGCCGGTCTTCTGATCCTTGTGTGCATGATGGGGAAGTTCGCGCTTGAGCCACTGTCGGATCCGAGAATGTGGCAGCTCTCTCTAAGGTGAGCAGACTTTGTCACTGTTGCGGTTTTGCAGGCCTCTCTTTGGCGATCGACCTGCAATTTCTATTTAGTGAGAATCTGATCCTACAGCACAACTTGGCAGTGGACGTCGCACTTAAACACCCAGAACTTCACGGTTTGTGAGAGGCAAGATTTTCTGTTCTGCAGCGTTAGTTCCACTATTCTTGACCGTCAGGTAGAGAGTGGCAGTGTTTGTACAGTCACTTTGACGAGCTTCTGTGTTTGGCGTTGGACTAATCATGCAAGGAATCGGCCAACCTGCAGCACTGCATGAGAGCGCTAATGCTTGGATTCCACCAATGCATAAAACAAACAATGGTCACAGCATACATGCTGGTAGATGCCCTCCTCTGTCAGCTTGCACCTCCGTGAACCATTGTAACAGTGTTCAGTTGTAAATGTTAATGTCATGAAAAGATGTTGATCATGAAAAACATCAGTTACATACTTTGTTAACATCCATCAACAATGTTCGTTTGTTGATATTTGGATCTGGTGAAAGCAGTGGATACAATATGAGGCGTGATGTTTCAGTAATCCTGACATGATGTCACTTTTCGTGGCTTTGCACGTAAACCTTTGTATTGTACATTTGATTGAGTTCGAAAGTTTAATTTACATTTAAGTGATGCAAAGACATGACTGATTAGTTGGACTTTTCTAGAGCAATACAATGCATTCTTTCATAATGTAATAATGGATGACTATAAATTAATATTATATATATATATATATATATTCACACACACACATGCATACATCAAATTATGTGTTGAAAAAGTGAAACTAAGAATATTGTAATCACAAAGAAAATAAATAACATCAATAACGCCCGAGATGGATTTTTTACATAAGCAATAGATAAGAGACTTGATCGAATTACTCTGCCTATGAGCGCCACACGTTGAGGTGGACATATTTGGTGGTTCAATACTGTATATCTGGTTGTTGGCTTCCTTTTTCAAAATCTGGAGTTACACATAAAATCATAAAAACCAAAGAAGAGCACAGTATGGAAGTGAAGAAAATAGAGTAGAATTCATGAGAAAAAAGGTTGAACGGGACCCTGTGGCAGAATGTTTCCTGTTGCTATCACTCCTGTTTCTCAGTTTTCCAAGGTGGCTCGATTGTTGCAACAGCACATGAAGAAACGTCGATGTACGTGAATCAGACATGAAGGCTCTAGACAAAGCAGTCTCAAGTGAAGCTCATGCGATGGATTATTGGGATCCAGAGTTTACGCGTGCATCGAAGAAGGCAGTGAAATTTTCATATATATATATATATATATATATAACTACACATATTGGGTATCGTGTCTTCACCAGCACTATTGAATGATATCAACATGCTGTTGGCTTCGTTCAATATCTGGGTAATTTAATGCAATCCTCTCAGTTCCATCTGCACCTTCTCCGATCACACAGCTGATATCCTCTATGTGATAATTCAAAGATCACTATCCTGTGACCACGTCGATCATTGCGACGTTCTACATAAACCCAGCTTATAAGCTGTGTCTTGGAAAACGCTGCCAATTGAACTACACTCGAGCGGTTCAGACAAAGCAGTCTACCTCGAGACGAATGCAATAAAAACTGGGTCTTCGCTTCTCACGTTCTGTCATGTGAGCGAAACGAATTTGAAAGAAGCGCTGAAATCGAGTGCTAGATTCACGCAGGGACAAGTTAAGAGCTTCAAGAGGCCTCGTGTCTTTTATCCCTTTCGTAAGCAATTAACAGCAGCTGCGGGACTGTGGGATGACGAGTACTTAAATTGCGTCATGGAAGGCATGCCCTCATATTGACGAGGCTTGATGTTGTACGAAAATTTCGTTAGGGGAGGATCGGTCTCATGCCGTGGTGGTGTAACAATGATTTTCTGTGATGTCCATGCTTGCACTGATGTCTGGAAATCTGTTGTAAACAATGTGACCGGAGATTAACAAGGTTTCTACTGACGAGGAGTATCACCGAACAACTCCACTTTCCAACTTCGAACTTTTGCTGAGTCAGATAACATCTGCTGCACATCCAGTTTCTCAGAAAGTGTACAACCTAGCCTGGACGACAACCTTTCACCTTCTGCAATACATGCAAATAAAACATAAAGGCTTTGTATCTAACACTTCTAAGTTTTAAAAGGAGGTGAAGTTTATGGCGGCACAATCTCGCCGACACAAACATCACCGTTGCTGCGGAAGCGGTGACCCACAAAATCTAGCTAGCAACTTTCTTCAAGACTTTCGCCTGATGAATTCCCTTTTGGCATCCAAGGACCATTCGTGACTAGCTAGTCGTTCCAAATAATAAAAACAGGAGCAGAAGCTGTTGAAAATTCAAGGTAAGTTCGATTTTTCATGGCTGACATGGCAGGATCATAAAATATCTTAAAAACCAGTAATCTGAAGTTTTGAAACTGATGGAAACGCGAAACTAATTGCTGAAGAGAAAAGATTGCAACAGTAAGACCGCAAAGTCGTGAGTCTGTACACATATTGATGCACAGATGCAGACTACGATCTCTCAAGAAATATTCCTTAAAAAGTGAATACGGCCGTTACGTTGAAATCTGTTTTCTCATTGAAATTATACATGGTGTTACAAGGTTACCGACACTTTACCCCAATCACTCAACTCACACTTTATAAAATTTAAGCAGAGCTCTTCACAACTTATAAAGTCAGGTCAGGGAAACCTGCACAAAAGAATACAGAATGGTAAGTTCTTCCATTCACCAGTCCTTCTGATCAATAGCATAAGGCACTGCAGAAAGAATTCAAAACCTCCATCTGAAAATTACCTTAGTGAGTAAATAGGCGAACTAAATTATTTCCAACCTATTGATTTCAGGATAAGACGCACTAATCACTTACCACCAGACTCTAGTCGTCCCAAATGCATCAGTTCCGACAGAGACCACTGCAGCTTAGTTGCCTTCACCAAAATTTTGTTCATGTGGGCACTCGGAGCGCACATCTTGACTAGAAGACTGAGGTAAACTGCTAGAGGCGGAAAATCTCACTCGAGATCGGCGATTAAAATCATGCGAGTCATCGCCACTCGCCCGCTCCATCGTCTCTGCATCTGGTGCAATACTCTGCTCGCGAAAAGAGCCATCTCCAGTCCTCTGGCTTCTCAGTCGTAGTTGGTGATCGAGCATGGAGATTTTAGTGTCCATGGCCTGCCAGGTTCGAGAAGCGAAACTGGAAACCATTGGAGCTATCACTCTAGTCATTTGCCTGACCCCTTGGCCAGCTCCGGTGACAACTACACCAAACCCAAATTTACAAACAGGTTCAATTACACACTCATTTCAACCCAATTTCTAAGCAAACACCTGAGGGGATAGTATCCAGGAAATAAAGCTACCCAAAACTGAACCGACATCTTTCAAGTCCATAAATCGCGAATCAAACCCTATACAAACACCATGCAAAGCAAAAAGTTGCCAAACCCTAAAATTTTAACCAAGTTCCGCATCTCATCATCCAACCCATCCAATCAACAAGAGCATTTGACGGACAATAATACACAGATATCAAAGCTTTAACTCTTTGTAAAAAAAATCAGAAACTCGACACAGTTGCACCCAAATTCACCATAACCACCTCTCTCGCTCTCAGTCTAACTCTCATCCACTGCCGCTCGCAGACATGGCAGAGGCGGGTCTTACCATTGCAAGGCACACAAGCAAGGCCAGAAGCCGGCAATCCTACTCCGACGCCCACCAAGGTGACGCCCATGCTCAATCCCACGCCGCATCCGGAGCCCACAAAGCCCACGACCTCATGGCCGAATCCAGGGCCCCACCCCACGCCGCAGCCCAACCCCACGCCGACTCCCCAAAATGCCCCATACGTGGGATGCACTGGGTTCCATCGCTTGTATCCCTGAATCAATCCCCCAACTGCCATTCTGAATCAATCCTCCCACTCCCCACCCCCGCCCTGCAATCTCTCCGAGTGCCAGCCGATGCCCCACTTCCCCACCGACAGCCTCCACCGACATGAACGGCGTTCGTTCGTTTCCCACCGACGTCGACAACGTTCGTCCGTCCCCTATCGATGTCGACGGAGTTCGTTACTCCTCCGATGAGAGGCAGCTTGTAGATTTTATTATTCTTTATTATTCTTTATTTAATTTACTGGAACTGTAGGGAGAAGTTTTTTTCATTGTAGTTCTAGGTAATTGTAGTTTCATGTAAATATATGTATTATTTAAAATTGCTTAAGAATAAGATAAGAGATAAAGAAGTCTTCTAATTGGTTGTGAATGAGGGAATGTGGATACTGGGGAGCACAAGAGCTTTTTAGAGCTGCTAATAGCTTTTACACCATTTTTGTGTCCAATGGCACGAGTTTGTTTATTTATTTATTTATTCTAAATGATCTTCTTATTTTTACACATATTAATGATGTTTTTAGCAAATTAAAAAATTATAATATATTATTAAAATTTTATTACTTTTTATTGTACTTTCTATCTCTTACATCATAAATTTATTGAAAATTAATTGTCTATATTTTATTATAGAAAGTTTTATTATGATTTTAGATTTTTCTTTTATTTAAATTTTTTGTTCAATGTCTTATTTTCTAATTAGAACCATTTTGATTGGATTACTATTTTCTATGACAAAATTTGTGTGAATTAATTTTTTATTCAAATTTAGATTCCAATTTATTGGCAAACATTGATAGAGTAGATTTTGTATTTATTTTATTTTATTTTATTTGTAATTTGATGACTAAAAAGTTGGTTGTTAAACACTTCCAAAAGAAGTGCAGTATGGTATATTTTACCATTAATTTATAATAGTAGCAATAAATATTTAAAAAATAATAAATAAATTAGAATAATAAAAACTAACATTATTAATTTTATTACTACAATCTTTTCATAAATTGAAATCATTTAACTTAAATGATTAATGTATATTAAGTACTTAAATTTTTATAGCTTGAAATTTTTGAATTTTTAATAATTTTCTTTAAAATAATTTATTTACAACACTAAAATAACTTCAAATATTTATAAAAATATATGTGTTAAAAAATTAATCTACTTATAATAAATAAAAATTTAATAAAATATTTGAATTATCTTAATATATTATTCATATAAATATTTTTATATATTTATGTAAATATAAATATATAATTACAAATATTAGTAATATTACAATCAAATCTTATTGATTATTATATATCTCTAATTCAATGCATGTCATATAGACGCAAAATAAATACCAAGTACACATCTTAATTTTATTATTTTTCAGCTTAAAAGATTATACATTTTTCCATTATATGTTATTAAAATTAAGATTTAGTATAAGATATGATTTACATTTAAAATCTTAAAATAATATTCATATATTATGTTTCTTGATTGCATTTGGAAGTTTCACCACTTTGTCATTTACCATCCATATTAAGTATATATTTCTAATTAGTCATCTATCAAGGACATACATATTTACTCTAATATTTATCTATATGATTAAATAAAAGTAGATAAAAATATATTTATTTCATAATAATTTCTAAAAAAAGCTTCTTAAAAGCTTCATAGATACAATTTTTACTTTATATGTGTTTGTAATTGATTAATAGGTTAGAAACTTGATCAATAAATTAACCATGTATTGATAGCTTGCCGAACAAGCTAACTATGTGGCGCACATATAGAAAACTTGCCTTGCAAGTTAAGATATGTATCTTGCAAAGTCAACACATTTTAGAGGTTTTATAGGATACTACCACATAGCTCCTAATTAAGAGTATATATGAAAGCAAGAGCAAAGCCTTTTTCACTTTTGTCAATGCCTTTCTAATCCTTAGTCTTATTTAAAGTCTTTCTAAACTTCTTGTCTTTGGCAATAGGCATTCTAGTTTAATATTATACCATCTTTGAGTAACTTTGTAGTTCTTTTGACTAGCACAAGAATGTATTCACGATGTTTTTTCAAGCTTCATATCCTTGATAATTAGACAAGAGTGCTAACTCATTGTTCTTGTATTTTTTTTTAGAAGTGAGTGGATTATCCCACTTCTATTGTTGTATTTTGAAGGTTGCAAATAATCTACCTTTAAAGAAACTATTTAGTTTCTTAACACTGATATCTTTTTTAAAAAAAGTCGATTATCCTACTTTATAGAAATTTTCATTTAATATTAGAAGTCATAGATTATCCTCCTCTAATTTGACTTGTGGATTTGTTAAATTGTTTGAAAAAGAAAGAAATATGATAGATGCTACACTTAGCAAAAGTGAGAATAGATTTGTAATTATTGTTGATTTTCAAGAACTTTTCAATACTCTTAAGATAGGAATTTCATGCATCACAAGCACCAAATATAGAAATACTAATCCTACGCTTATAAAAGAAGTTTAGAATCTATGTCAAAAAGTTGTACAATTGAAAGAAGAAAGTAAATCAATTTCACAACTAAATCCAAGAAGTTTTGTTTTACAAGTATAACATGGATAAGGATTAGTATGTCTGAGAAGTTTAATGGAGCATGATCAAAATTTCAACGAATTTTTACAATAAGTCAAGTTCTATCTAAAGTTGCATTCTTTCCAATATCCTAATAGATTTACTCAAGTTAGGTTCATAAGTGCACTTCTATTTAGAAGTGCTTTCTCTTGATTTGTACCTTTGATGGAAAAAGATTCACAATTCTTTTATGATTTGAATTCATTCTTTGAAGTGATTATGGCCATATTTGGAGAAAGAAAGAATAGCAAAGATCAAACTCTTATCTTTACAATAAGAATCATGATCAGCCACCATATGTATTACTAAATTCCAAAACCTTGCTTGTGATGTGGATTGAAATGGCAAAACATTCATCAATCAATTTTAATATGGGATAAAGAATAATATCAAAGATTCATTATTAACAATGTCAAAAGTAAAATCTATAGAATAATTTATTGTTCAAGCAATTACATGTGACAATTGATTATTTGAAAGACATCAAAAATAAAGACTTGCTTGGAGAAGAACACTCCAAGTAATGACGAAAGCTTCCAAGTTTTCAGAAACTTATTCATAAAGGCCAAAATCAATGCAAATTAATATAATATATTTTAAATCTCTAACTAAGCAAGAAAAAAATTGACATCGTCTAATAGGGTTTGTACTTATATTATGGAGAAGCTAAGTATACTACTCAACATTATCTAAAGAAGCAATGCAATTACAAAATAATGAACGCAATTTTTGAAGAAGACAATGTGTCAAAAAATAAATTTCTTGAGCTATAATAGAGATCGTGGAGCTAGAATTATGTGCAATACTTAATAAAGATCCTATTCTCTCCTAAAATCTTTCACTTTATTTTATAAATAGATTTGTATTTAGGACCTAAAAATTAAAATAAAATAAAATAAAATAAATCATTATTAGATTCAAGACCCTCAGCCTATTTTGTAAATAAAGACTATATCAAAAAACAAGAAATATCCTTAATAAAAAAAACTCAATCCATACATATAGAAATCATAGATTTTTGTTTGTTGTCTTCTAGAGATATTACTTATAAGATTGTTCCTTTAGATGTAGCAATTAAAGATCATAATAGTGTAGTAATATTTAATATGATAAGATATCCATCAAATTCAGTTATTTTAGGATTATTGTGGCTAAAAAAATATAACTTTTAGATAGATTGGATTTTTCATAACCTTCATTTTTCTTATATTTTAATCCAAAATTTTGATAATAAAATAAAAATAGATAAGCCTAGTACATCCAAACTTTTATTTGTAAGTGCAAGAGCTTTCATGTATGTGACAAAAGAAAGGCCATTTTTTGCTATATATGCCACATCCATTTCTAATGGTGGAAAGATGTCAAGTAGTACTCTTAACTAGTATCAAGGTTTCTAAGATATTTTTTAAAATATATATATATATATTTTTCAAGAGCATCAATCCTATGATTATTCAATTGATCTACAAGAAAGACCTCAACTACTATTTGCGTCAATCTACAACTTATTGCAAAATGAGTTCATTGCATTATAAAAGTACATTGACAAGAGTTTGGTTAAAATCTTCATATGCTATTTAAAATCTCCAACAAGAGCTTTTATCTTATTTATAAAGAAAAAAGATGGATCTCTGTAGATATGTGTAGACTATCAAAGACTTAACAAATTTGCCATCAAAAATAGATATTCCCTATCTTTGATTTCAAGAATTTTTGACCAATCCAATTAAGTAAATATCTACACGGAGCATACAATCTAATCTGCATTAAAAAAAGATATGAATAAAAAAATATTTTTTGAATTAAGTATGGACATCTTAAATATAATGTCATGCCTTTTAGACTCACAAATACACAAGTTGCTTTTCAAAATCTCATAAATGATGTCTTTCATGAGTTTCTTGATGATTTTCTTATCTATTAATTAAACAACATTCTAATCTACTATAACAACACAGAAAAACATGAACTTCATGTTTGTAGTGTATTACAAAAATTTAGAATTGTTGGATGATATACAAAGACAAAAAAGTAATTATTCTAGATTAATCAAGTTGATATTCTATAATACATCATTTCCAACAAAGGATTAATGATGGATCCTAAAAAAGTCCAGACTATTGTGGATTAAAAGGTTCCAAAAATAATCAAAGATGTGGAATATTTTTTAGAATTTGCCAATTATTATCAAATCTTTATCAAGGATTTTTTTCAAGTTGTGACTCTTCTTACATGACTCACATGTAAAGACAAACTTGAGTAGAGCAAAGAAGTAGAAATATCTTTTGAAGCCTTAAAGATAACATTTATTTTTATACCAATTTTGTAATGCATCAATTTTTCTAAGGCATTCTTCATAGAAATATATGCATCGAACTTTGCTATGGATGATGTTTTATCACAAATGGAAGTAGATGATAAACTTGACCTGATTACTTTTCATTCCA